CAGAGAGCAAAGTTATGAAGAGGAAAAAGGGACGACAGCATATTAAAGACCAACTGAGTTACACCTGTTTAACAGATGAGTGGCGGTATCATTACACATGGTGGTGGTTATATGCCATGGAGTTGGCTCCAACTCATAGCGACCCTGCATAAGTTCCCAAGGCTGTAAATCTTTATGGGAGCAGAAAGCCTCATCTTTCTACTGCAGAACAGCTGGTAGTTTCGAACCGCTGACCTTGAGGCTAGCAGCCCAACTTGTAAGCAATACACTACCAGAGGTCTGTGTTGTTCTTCAGTGCCATCGAGTTGATACTGACCCATAGCAACTCCATATGGGGTATCCAAGGAGCAAGCTGGTAAGCTTGAACCACCAGTCCTGCGGTTCAAACTTTTCAGTCCATTGCATTAACCCACAGCACCACACCAGGACTTTTTACATCATCATTACTGCAGGATTATGTTGCCTATAACATTTGCACTTGAAAAGATGTTCTGGATGACCCTTAAATTATCAGTAAATTCTGGCAAGTGTGTTCCTTTTTCTGGCGATAAGGTCCACAATTCTCAAAAATCATCAAGGTGTTGGTGATCTCAAAGAATCTAAGAACCGCTTCGGATTACACAGTGCCTATCCAGCTTCTTCATCTGGCTAAGAGTACTAGAATCAAAATTGAAATCTTTCAAGAAAGTGAGGCGGCACAGGAGGCACTCACTCATCTCTGCCAAGAAATTTGGAAGACAACTGTCTGGCTGACTGATTGGAAGAGATCCATATGTGTGCCCATTCCAAATAGAGGTGGTGACCCAATGGAATGCAGAAATCATCGGACAATCTCTTTGATATCCCATGCGAGTAAAGCTTTGCTAAAGGTAATACAGAAACGGCTACAGTCATACATTGACAGAGAACTTCCAGAGGTTCAAGCTGGATTCAGAAGAGGCCGTGGAACGAGAGATATCATTGCTGATGTCCGATGGATTTTGGCTGAATGCAGAGAATACCAGAAAGATGTTTACCTGTGCTTTATTGACTACGCAAAGGCTTTTGATTGTGTGGATCATGACAAGCTATGGACAACATTGCGAAATATGAGTATTCCGGAACACTTAATTGTGCTCATGAGGAATCTGTACCTGGACCAAGAAGCAGTTGTTGGAACAGAACATGGGAACACTGAATGGTTTAAAATTAAGAAAGGTGTGCAACAGGGGGTTGCATTCTGTCACCATACTTATTGAACCTGTATGCTGAGCAAAAAATCCGAGAAGCGGGGTTATATGAAGAAAGACGTGGCATCAGGTTTGGAGGAAGACTCATTAACAACCTGAGATATGGAGATGATACAGCCTTGCTTGCTGAAAGTGAAGAGGACTTAAAACATTTACTAATAAAGACCAAAGAGCACAGCCTTCAGTATGGATTACAACTCAATGTAAAGAAAACAAAAATCCTCACCGTAGGACCAATAAACAACATTCTTATCAACGGAGAAAAGATTGAAGTTGTCAAGGACTTCATTCTTCTTGGATCAACTATCAACACTCACGGAAGCCAGCAGTCAAGAAATCAAATGACATATTGCATTCGGCAAATCTGCTGCACAAAACCTTTTTAAAGTGTTGAAGAGCAAAGATGTGAGCTTGAGGACTAAGGTGCGCCTGACCCAAGCCATGGTATTTTCAATAACCTCATATGCGAAAACTGTACAGTGAATAAGGAAGACTGTAGAATTGATGCTTTTGTGTTGGAGGAGAATATTGAATATTGAATATTGAAAGTGCATGGGCTGCCAAAAGAACCAATAGATCCGTTTTGGAAGAAGTGCAGCCAGAGTGCTCCTTAGAGGCCAAGATGACCAAACTTCGTCTCTCATACTTTGGACATATCGTCAGGAGGGACCAGTCGCTGGAGAAGGATATCATATTTGGTAAAGTGGAGGGTCAGAGAAAAAGAGGAAGACTGAAAACGAGATGGATTGGCCAAGTGGCAACATCGATGCACTCAAGCGTGGCAACAGTAGTGAGGTTGTCCCTGGATGGGGCAGTGTTTCGTTCTGCTGTGATAAGGTCTCTATGGGTCTGTAACGTTCAATGGCATTTAACAGCAACTGTGGCCGCTGGGGCCGACGCAGTCCTCCGATTTGCGGCTTCCAGCAGGGGTCGCTGCACGGCCGCCGTCGCGCCCGCGCGAGCCGCCTGGCCCGCTCTCACCGCGCCAACGCAGGCGGAAGGGGCGGGGCCCAAGCCGGGGACCTGGAGGCCAGTGGTCGGCGCTGCAGAGAAGAAGGCGGCCAGAGCGGCCTTGACGTGCAGGTAAGTGCGCCCCTGCCGGACGCGCCTGGCCGTCACGGCCACTAAGCCGCGCCCCCGGCCCGCGCGCCCCTCTGTTGCTTCACCTTGCGCATCTGTGAGTTGGAGCGCGCTGAGTTCCGCTGCTTCACCTGTGCTCCGGCCGGGTCTCCGCAGGAGCCTCAGCGCGCTGTCCTTACCCTGCTAGTCGCGGGTTGCCTCGCTTGTCCGGGAATTGAAGGAGTCGTGGGAGCCAGGCAGGCGGGGGCTGAGTGCCCTTGGGCCCGACCGCTGCGGCTTCCTGCAAACGCACACTCCGAGCCCGAGGTCGCTTGTGTCCACTTTCCCTTGACCTTGGTGATCCGAAGAAGGTGCGCAGCTCGCGGGGGTGGGAGGAAACGAGAGGAACCCGACCCTGACTCAGTGGTCAGCCTCCGAGGACGCCAGCAGGAAATTTTGTTGTTTTTAGCTGCAGATAGACCTAGAAGCATTTAATCAGGTTCTCCATCTTACAGAACAGGTCCAGGAACGGGCAGCGATTCCCAGGTTCTCGTAGGTCAAGGACACAGTTGCTTTTGGATCCCAAATCTGGTTTTCCTGGCAGCCTTAGGTTAGTTCCGATTTTGTGGGCTTCCTGCGGTGAGCATCCCAGCCCCGCCGTTTCTTGTTAAGTGCAGTGGAGCCGATTGTAAAAGGAATCAACCATACTAAAGGTCAACTGAGTTATGCCTGTTTGACAGACGAATGGTGGTGGTGTTCCGTGGAGCCGGTTCCGACTCACAATGACCCTCATCGGGTGTCTGAGGCTGTAAATCTACACGGGAGCAGAAAGCTTCATCTTTCTCCTGCCGAGAGGCTGGGGGCTCGAACTGCCGACCTTGTGGTTCGCAGTTCAGTGCTTACCCTAGAGCACCGTACAAGTCTATGAAATACAGAAGGCGTGAACTCATGAAATAACCCATTTCCGTCCTTTGTCCCTGCTTATATAAAATTTAAAAGGAGCTCTGGTAGCGTAGTGGTTATGAATCGGGCTGCTAACCTCAAGGTCGGCAGTTCGAAACTACCAGCCGTTCTGCGGGAGAAAGATGAGGCTTTCTGCTCCCGTAAAGATTTATAGCCTCGGAAACCCTGTACAAGGTCGCTGAGTCGGAACCCCGACTCCACGGTACTTAACAACAACATAAAAAATTTAAAGTTCCCCCTACAAAAGGGTAATATTCATTCTGTATTAAATTATACAGACTATGTAAGACAAGTTCTTGCAGTATTTCTTTTTAAAGTATTTAATTTCTAGTCAGTAATTTAGAGTACTCTGGCTTTTATAGCATTTTAAGTTTATTTCAAATTATACTTGTGTTGAAAACAGCTCATAAATTGAGCCTGCTATAAATCTCATTTTGAATTCCTGGTATGGTGCTGTAAGATAAGCACTAGACTGCTAACTACAAGGTTATTGGTTCAAACCTACCAGTCGTTCCTGAGAAACCCCATACAGAGTTGCTATGAGTTGGAACCACTCCAGGGCACTTAACAACAAGAGCAATATGCCTCATTTTAGAGACTTAGACATAAATTGGGGACCCATGAGTGGTAGGTAATAGAGCTTGTGTTGTCTGCCTCATTTATGCCAGCAGACTTGAGGCTCAGAAGGTTATGAGTTGCTTTGTGCTTGTGAATGAAACTTACATATAATTGCTGCTGTCGGATTTGTGATGAATGGAAAGTGGGGGTGAGACTTAGTATCAAAGAAAAGATCGCAAAGTATAACCTTGGCACCAAAGGAAAGTCATTTGCAGACTCAAAAGTATGAGGGTGTTGGCCATATGGAAACCCTTCTTGTATTACTACACCATGATCTCCAAGGCCATCTTACTGAACTTCGGGAAACTGCCATCAAAAGCCGCCATCAAATGATCATTTCTGTTGTGTTTGAGGTTAATGGTAGGAATTGGTTGCTTTTAAACTTAAACTTGTCAGCATCTTGGTGCCTCAGAAAACAAGTACCCAGTTATTGGGTCTCCAGGCCCCTTCCTTCTCAGCAAGTTAATGCCTCTGTTTAAAAGTGAGACTGTGATCTGTCTTCCAACTGTTCTGTCCAGTTGCTCCTTCCTAGTGCTGATTTGCTGAAGTTGGAGGTTGATACAAAGTTTAGAGATTCATTCTGGGTTTTATGAAGTCAACAACAACCTTTCTCTGTAGGATAAGTAAGCATTGACTGCTAACCACAAGGCCAGTGGTTCAAATCCAGCTGCTCCTTGGAAACGCTTTACAGGGTCGCTATGAGTGGGAACTGACTTAATGGCACACAACCACTACCACCACCAGGATAACCAGTGGACTGCTAACCATAAAATCACTGGTTCAAACCCACCCGCCACTCCTCAGAAACTCTGTATCAAGTCTGTAAGTTGGAACTGACTCCAGGGCACTTAGCAATTACATTATTATAGCTTTCATTAGCAAACATTACCCAGGGCTAATTTGGAGAAGGGAGAAGAGTAGAACCAGTTCTTTTGCACATATTATAATTATAGCTAGAAGACACCCTATGGGAAGGTGCAGAGGCCGCAGTAGGTGTGGACTGGCCTTTTCTAGGAGAGGATACGTATAGCATTAGGTAAAACGTGCTCATGGTGTGCATGGTTTTTGCTGTAAGAACACTCCAGCTCTGTACTTGTGAAATAAGAGAATTGTTGTTTGTTTCAGGTTGTGTGAGCCATGGCTTTGACTGGTTGCAGATTGCCTGCCAGTGTTCTAAGAAAGCCAAATGCCTGTACTGGACTCTGGGGAGTACTCCGGGGGACAATTTCTTCATACAAACTCTGTGCTTCCTGGAATCGATGCTTACATCTTCCTAATACCAAGTTAAATGCATCAAACTATAAAACACTTTTCCATAATATTTTCTCACTGAGACTCTCAGGGCTTTTAATATCTCCGGAATATGTTTTTCCTTTCTCCATAAGACTCAAAAGTAATATAAGCTCTAAGAAATCTACTAAAAAGACTCTGCACGCAGTGGAGGAAGACTCTGATGAAGAGCGGGATGGTAGTGAGATGAGTGAGCAGGAAGAGGAACCTGAGGATGATCCCACCGTGGCCAGAGACTACAAAGACCTGGAAAAGGTGGTGCAGTCTTTCCGGTATGATGTGATCCTGAAGACAGGCCTAGATGTTGGAAGAAAGTGAGTAGGATGCGTATTTTGTTAAAACTCCACTGCATGCTGGTTTTTTACATGAGTTGTTGCTGAGAATAGACACAGCCAACCATACACCAGTCCAGTCATTTCTACATGGACAGTTACTTTTGTGGCCCTGTGTAGCCAGTCTCACCCTCCTTTTTGGAGCTGTTCCTCCCCCGTTAACAAATTCACTACCTCCTAAGGGTCCAATAGAATATTTCGAGTTGTTGTTGTCATATCATTCCCGTGTGGATCCTTAAAAGAGCATAATGCTCAAGGAAGATATTTTTCACTATGGTTTTAAGAAGACTTGGGATATTTTGGTTTAAGGTTTATTTTAATGCAGCATTACAAATAATGACTTGGCCCATATTGTGGTAGAGTGTAGCCATAGATGTGAAAGGATCTCGTGTAAGTATAACCCATTTCAGTCATTATATTCTATATGTGGGAAAACTGATTCCCAGAGAAGTCAAGTAACTGCCATACTTTCTTGATTCTAAGACACAGTTTATTGTTGTTGTTGATAAGTGCCATCAAGTCGGTTCCGAGAGTCTAGTGGTTCAAACGACTTTGCATTAACAGTCCACACGTTAACCCACAGCACTACACCAGAACTCCACAGTTAATTATGAGTCATTTAATAGCAGCTTCTTGAGAGAATCAGTTGCCACACTCACACATAGCAAACATGAGGCACACCTGGATTTCATAAATGCTGCAGTGTCAGAAGGTACCTCTTAGAGTCAAGAGAAACAGCAAATAGTGGTAGTTACAAATGCAGACTTTGGAATCAGACTGGTAGTGATTGCATGTTAACTCTGTACAACTTTAGGCAAGTTACTTAACCTCTCTGTACCTCAGTCTCCTCACCTGTGAAATGGGGATAATAGAACCTATTTTAGAAGGTGGGTGTAAGCGTGAAATGACTATCTTAGCTATCTAAAGGAGGTCTGGTCATGTAGTGGTTACGAATTGGGCTGCAAACCTCAAGGTCAGCAGTTTGAAACTACCAGCTGTTCCGCGGGAGAAAGATGAAGCTTTCTGCTCCCGTATAGATTTACAGCCTCAAAAACCCTATACAGGGTCGCTATGAGTCAGAACCGACTCCACGGCACACAACAACAACAACAAGAATCTAAAGCATATGTCCTAACACATAGTAGGTGCTCAATAGATGTTAGCTTTGATGGGGGGAAAAGAGTGCTAAGTATGAATGTTCACAAAGAATACCTAGAAAGGGTAAGTATAATTTTCAAGATTTCTTTAATGTTCTCACGTTTTCTCTGCTTAGACTAAAATAACCGTCACCCTCACTGTTCATTCATTCCGTAGCAAGCATTGTGTACATACTGTATGCAAGGTGAGAACTGTGGTAAGAATCATAAATTCCAAAATATTTCCTTGTGTAATCTGTGCCTTTGTGGCATAGTTTAATGGCATAGTTTAATTTTTTAATCCATGAAGCTTGGGAGGCTCACAAAGAGGACACTGAGCTCCTAGGCCTCCATCTTGGCACCCTGATCAGGATTTGATGGCAAGTTCATAAAGCAGCCTCTCCCCTTCCCCAGGGTAGTTAGCTACTGCTTTATTACGCAAAGTCCCAAATACCAGTTACCCTGAGTCAGATTATCAAAAGGATCTGTCGTTAGTCCACATCCTCCCCTGGTCTGGTTGCCCCGGTGGATGAAATTCGGGGAGATGAGCAGCTGCTGTGTTGGGATTTTCCCAACTTCAGTGCAGACTAACAGGGTTCTTTCTCTCTCTCAGGGTACAGATGAGGTGGTATGTGAAGGAAGGAAGTGCCCACTCACTTTGGCATCATGAATCACCAGGGCTACAGCCTTGGCAGGCAGGTGTTGCTGCTTAGGGAGTCAAGTGGAGTGGGGTCCCCTGGTTCCCTGACCCCAAGTACAGCTTGTCTGAAATCCCATCAGCCTACTCACTGACTGCCCGATAGTGCACAGTAGTTCAGCATCTATTCAGAAGTGCCCTGTGGTCTTCCTGTTTTCGGTACGGGAGGGAGCAGTTGACTTTCATATTCCCAGCACCCAGAATGGAGGATTTGTGGGGGATATCAGTCACTGTCAGACTAAATATTAATGGCAGTCTTTTTTTCAAACTTATATAGAGGTTCTGAAAATATTTCTATTTTAAAGCACTTTTTTCTTTTTTTTTTAAATAGCAAAGTGGAAGATGCATTCTACAAAGGTGAACTCAGGCTGAATGGGGAAAAATTATGGAAGAAAAGCAGAACGGTGAGATATTAGACCTGTGTAGAGTAGCAACCTTCTTCCTTGGAGCGGGGCTCCTGGTCTGTGTCTGCCCAACCGCTGTCAGGGCCTCTCTGGTCAGTCACACACACCACTGTCTCTTTCGCAGCATTAGTGACTTTCTGAAGTTTGAAACTTCCCCCTTTTCTTTAAAATTTTAAGACAAGCCACTATCAGTACTGGTAAAACTCCATTAACTAAGTCTCCAAGTTATGAGTGTTAACCCTATGGAGTCACCCTAATTAGGTTAAAATGAAACATTTGATCCTCATGGAGGTTTTGTCGATTGGGTGTGTCTGAGCAGATGTGTGATTCTGTGCAGCTCAGCAGCACCGTACCCCCACCCTCAAGCACCTGCTGGAGTGCTGCTGTGTACACAAGCCCGGGAGACAGAACGAGGAATATGTGGCAGGTTGTTAGAAACGACAGTCCACTTTCTCACAGGTCCATCCGTATCAACACTGTTGCTAAGTGCAAGAAGTCAATTACAAGAAAATGTATTGACAATATCCATTTTGAACAGTTAATCATATCCACTGCCACCTAGGTGATTCCGACTCAGAACAAGCCTGTGTAGGATCTCCAAGACTGAGCATCTATAGGGGAGCAGACAGCCCCAGCTTTCTGCTGTGAAGCTAAACTTGTGGTTAGCAGTCCAATGCTTACCCACTATACCACCAGGGCACCTTATAAATCACAAACATACATATAAATTCTATTAGCTGTGTAAACTATTACATATACATATGTCTGGAATTAGAATAGTAATGGCACTAATTATCTCTGGAGTCCTGGTGTGGTGCTATAGGATAAGCACTGGACTGGTGACCACAAGGTAGGCAGTTCAGATTCATCAGCCACTCTCAGAAACCCTATGCAGAGTTGCTGTGGGTCGGAACAGTTATTTCTGAGTGTGATATTATGGGTTACGTTAATTTTCTTCTTGCTTTTTATTGTCTGAATTTTGTACGGTATATATCACTTTATAATTGGATAAAACAATAAAATGATTGTCAAAGTTTACAAGACACAGTTGTTACAGTGTTGTCAAGTCAGTTCCAAATCATAGCAACCCTGTATAGAGTCTCAGTAGCAGCTGGTGGATTTGAACTGCCATCGTAGTGATTCGCTGTCCAGTGCTCATCCTACAGCACCACACCAGGACATCCACAAAACTCTATATTGTTAGTAAGTGCTGTTGACTTTAGTTCTGACACACAGTGAACCTGTATAGGATTTCTGAGGAGCAGCAGGGGAGTTTGAGCCGCTAACCTTGCGGTTAGCGTCCAGTGCTCATCCTACACGTCATACTAGGACTCTACAAAACACAATTGTTGTTAAGTGCCATCAAGATGGTTCCGACTCATAGCGAGGGTTTCCGAGGAGTGGCTTGGTGGATTTGAGCTGCCAACTTGTATTCAAACTGACTGTGCAGTCCAGTGCTTACCCTTCAGCACCACACCAGGACTCCAAACACAATGGCAGTGTTTAAAAGTTTGGAAGCCACAAGATTTATGAGGCATTAGAAGATATAACCTGACTATGGGGAGCCAGTGTCCAGGGAACAAATGTTCCAAGGAAATTAGACACTTTTCGGAGGTGGTTTTATTTATGCTTTCGCGTTTCAAAACAGCCCTGGGGTTGAAGGATTGGATCTACATCTTCTTACTCTGAGATAGTTTGAGTATGTCAGCCTGGATCTGCTGAGCACTGAGGTTTTCTTTAGCGTTCTTGCCCTGTAGGATCACACAGATTCGTGTGGCTAAATGGACAGAATAAGGGAAAGCACTCATGCCTTTCTCATACCTTCGAGTCACAAGAGTCACAAAGGCCCACCGTCACATCTCCCCTGACAGTGCTTGGCGAGGGTGTCAATGCCCGGTGAGCAGCACAAACACTGGCACTTCCCACATGCGGAAAATCCACCCTTCTTCTCTACTAATGGTTATCCTCAGATTTTAGCCCAGCCCCTTTCTCAACCAGTATTCCAAAGAGAAGGCTGTGAGTTCCTGGAGTAAGGAATGATTACCCCTTAACATGCTGCCTCTGTGCCAGGGCCTCATTTACAAATCCTACAAGCCTATTTCTTCCCCCCTGCTTTGAGATATTGTTAACTACAGCCTAATTGCTGCTGCTTCATTCTGCCTTGGGTGTTCTATTGTCTCGGCTGCCTTCCAGATTTCTCCTGAGGGTCAGCAGAGGAAGGGGCCAGTATTAACACTTGGCTGCCTTGTTACTAGGAGGCTTGGTAGCCATAGTAACTGCAGCTAAGGGGAGATTTGAAATGTAGATATTGGGAGCAGCCCCTAATCCCAGCCAGTTTTGCTTTGTGTCTGCTGGTCCAGTCTCCCATGTGATAAACGATAGGGCCTTGGAGGTGAATAAAGCTGCCTCCCTGGCTGCTGATCCTGGAGGGCAGGCACTTGCTCTGACCCTGGCTCCCTGTGGCTGAGCTTGCCCAGAAGCTGTGAGCTAGAGTATTCTGGAAGTGCTGGGCAACCACTGTGGAGAGCAGTGTGTGGAGAGCCCAAAATAGAGGGGCTAGAGCCTCTCTAGTTCATCCTTTCCTGGGATGAACTGAGTAAAGCAGACATAGCCCCTCTATTCTCTGCTCTGGGAGTAAGCCCCCAAAGGGACTCACTCTTCAGCTCCACACTGGCTTATTCTCCCTTTGAGGGCCAGACCTGATACAGTGTGTTTCTGAAAGGATACACCCAGAACCTTTCTTTGCATATACTTTATAGGAGTCTAGACTTCTTATCAAAGATGAATTTTAATGAAATAAAATTACACCATAAAAGGTAGCAACATCAGACAGTTGGGCTGAGGTGGTATGTTTTTAAATTAAACCCAGAACTACAGGAGGACAGGACCATCACCCCACCCTCCCTACTTCCTGGGCATAGCTCTTACCTTAAAAGCATGGGAGAAGTAGTCTTGATGCCCACCTGTGGGGTGGACCTATCTGCTTCTCAGCTCAGAGGGGAGGTAGGTAATGATTTAAAATCTGCCCCTTCATGAGCTACACTGGGCTACCCATGAGTGATGGTGTGGGCGCCATGACAGAGCAGGAGTGTGTGTCTATGCTGTAGGGGAGCGTTCTGGCCTGCAGAGGGCTTTGAGTGGGTGGGAGAACAGATAAAAGGCCTTGCTCTGCTGAAGTACAGAACCTTCTGACCATGTTAGGACTGCCTCAGAGAGCATTAATTGGAAATTAGGTAAAAGTCAGCATCTGGCACCAAGCTCCCTAATCCAAAGCCTTCCAGGTGGCTTTTTAATGGCCACAGGTACCCAGTTGGAGTCAGTGACCCACACATAGGGTTGCTCTCTCATTGGAGGCAGTAGTGACGGGTCTAAGATGGCCCCAGGTCGTCCCTGGTTTGTGTCTTAGTAGAAGAGGAAGCATGTGGTATCTGGGCTGGATTAGCCTCTACTTGGGTTATTGGGTTGATCCCTTGGAATCCCAAGCTGCTAGGAACAGATGTCTGTTCATGGGCTGGCCACAGTGGCAGCATTGTCCTGAGCAGCTACCCCGAGAGTACCCTGCACTTGTAGTTCAACCCAGAGCTACCAGCTTGGGCCACAGTGGGTTTGACTTTAGCCATCAAACTTTAACTGTCTATTATTTGGCATTCTAACTTTGTGAGTTGACTTCTGCCTCTCTTAGTATGTGACATCAGTGAGACCAATCAAGTGAAGAAGCAGTTTCCTTCCATTTCTCTACAAGGTATAACTGTCCATCAGTCCACAGTGACTGATTTCCAGCCAGCTACCCTATGAGTTAAGTTAGCTTATCTAGATTGAAATCAGTGAAAAGTGTTACACTGGAAATTTTCTTCTCATTGTATGTAATTACCCATTGCCATCAAATCAATTGTGACTCATCGTAACCCCATGTGTTGTAGGATAGAATGTGCTCCATAGAGTTTTTATGGCAAATTCCCAGACTTTTCATTTCTTCCAAGCCACCTCTGGGTGGGTCCTACCAGCCAACCTTTCAGTTAGTTGAGTGCTTAACCCTTTGTGCCACCTAGGCCCCACTTTCTGTGTAATGCCAGTGTTACCAAAATAAATGCCTCCAAGTACTTTTGTAACCCTGACAAGAGAGCCAGAGCAAGTGAGGACTGCCCACAAATGGCCAGTTGTCTGGGTCTGAAGGGAGGATGCTCTTATGAGTGTTTGAGGCACCCTTCAAGTGAAGCCCTTTCACCCAAGGGACCTGGGACAAATCATTGTTCTAGTGTTCACAGCAGACCCAGGGCCTTTTCTTAGCCACCCTCTGACTGATTATATATCCTATGGTAAAAACTCCAGGGATGTTTGCCTTGACCTAGATTAAGATAGTTTCGTTATACTTTTCAGGTGAAAGTGGGTGATACATTGGACCTTCTCATTGGAGAGAACAAAGAAGGAGAAACAGACACAGTAATGCGAATTCTCCTGAAAAAAGTGTTTGAAGAGAAGACAGAAAGTGAGAAACACAGAGTGGTGTTACGGCGGTGGAAGAAGTTGGAGTTGCCCAAGAAGACTGTGTCTAAATAATTGGATGGTTTTGTAGAGCTAAAGCTGCTTTCTAGTGGTGGGGCAGTGGCCAGCTTAAAGGAGGACGCTTTTCATTAAAATAAAGTTCTCTTACCATTTGTGGAATCTGCCTAGCCATTTTGTGGAAATTGGGATCTATACCTTGAAGATACCTGCTGTGGCCTGACTTTCCCTCCAGGGCTTGGTCTGGGCTCATTTTGACCTCTTCCGCTCCCCATCACCATGTGAACTGTGTCCAGATTGAGATCTGGGCTGAATGAACTAAGCCCAGAGAATTTTGTAATGACTTTGCCTGCTTTTCCCACATTAACTACCTCATGAGTCATTGTAAAATAAACCAGCCTTATTTCTTAGTGTTTGTATTTCAGCGTTATCTCTGTCAGCTCAGCTTCCTGGGGTTCAGGCTTACAGCTATACAAAGCAAAGTCAAGGCCACCTTCACATGCTTAGGGGAGAAGCATTGGGAGAGCCCGGTCTCTGCCTACGTTCCTGAATTACCAACATGTTGTCCTTGTCCCCTTTAATTTGTCTTCAATCTGGATGAGTAGTTGTTTCAACTAATTCCATTACAGGTCCAATAGGGCCCATTTGAAATTGTTTAGGCAGGTGTCAGTAAATGAGACAGCCCAAGACTTGTTTTTGTGTGGCCCTCCAGGTAAGAATAGTTTTTACATCTTTAAAGGGCTGTGAGAAAATGAAAACATGACAGACGATTTGTGAACCTAGAAACCTAAACAATTTCCTTTAGGCTGATGTGCTGACGGCTGAAATTCAACTAAAAGTTGGAGATACACAGATTTTGTAAGTGGAGAGAACAATTATTCTAATTCTAAAAATGATGTTAGAGCGGTCCAAGCCTAAAAAATAGGTCAAGCATTGGACTGCTAATGGTATTGGCATTTCAAATCTACCAGCTGCTACTTGGAAACCCTAAACAGTCACTGAATTGGAATGGACTAAGCACTTAACAAGTAGCAGGGACATACACATACAGTAAACATCATCTAAGGAAGGGCATCTGTAATTAAGATCGTTTGCAGATTTGCAGGGGCTGCTGCTTAGCTCTGGGAAAGGTCAGTTCAGATTCTGGGAGATTGGTTGGTGGTGGTGTGCCGTGGAATCGGTTCCAACTCATAGCGACCCTATACAGGGTTTCCGAGGCTGTAAATCTACGGGAGCAGAAAGCCTCATATTTCTCCTGTGGAACAGCTGGTAGTTTTCAAACTGCTGACCCTGAGGTTCGTGGCCTGATTCGTAACCACTACGCTACCAGAGCTCTGGTAGATTGGGTTGGGTTAAAAACACTACAGACATCACAATAAAAACTTAAAAAAAAAACAAACCTACAGACAGAAGAATCAACAAATCAATGAGTCACAGATGGAAGGAAAATGAAAAATCACTTCTTCCACATCTCTTCCCCCAGTGTGTAAAGGCTGCACTCACAGGGGTTTCTGATAGCAACAAAGCAGACCTCCACTGGGATCTAACCAGAGTGTGACACCACAACCCCACCTGGTAATTGTTGATTGCCAAGTTGTTGCAAACTGCTACAGAAAACCCATGTAGTGGCATCTACAAGTACACTACCTGCTTCCCTGTGGATCCTCTCACAGAGCATGTAGTGGTTCAAATCACTGACCCCCTTTGGTTAGCAGCCAGTGCTACCAAGTGGTAGTGGTGGTGTGCCGTGGAGTCGGTTCTGACTCATAGCGGCCCCATAAAGAGTTTCCAAGGCTGTCAATCTTTACAGGAGCAGAAAGCCTCATCTTTCTCCTGTGGAACCACTGGTGGTTTTGAACTGCTGACCTAAATGGCCTATTCTCTTTAATTCGATGTATATATGTCTTCCTTGCTAAGCACCTAATTTATAAACCCTATCCATTCTGGTGATATGTAGTGGGTTATGTTTTGGGTTGCTATCTATAAAGTCAGCAGTTTGAATAAGCCAGCTCTTCGGCAGGAGAAAAAGGAAGACTTTTGCCTACGGTAAAGATTTACAGCCCTGGAAACCCTATGTAGTATGGTTGCTCTGACTCAGAATCAATTTGATGGAGTGGGTTTGGTTTGGTTTGGTTTACCCTTACAGTTGACTGGAGGCTACAGCACAGCCTCTGGTAGCAACAAGGCAGAACTCCCAGGGGTCTGTTTGGAGTGTGACTTCTCCAACTCTTGACTATTGGACTGATAACCAATCCTACAGAAAGTTTCCTACAGTGGAGTCAGGAAGTAGACCACCTAAGTGGAGACTGCTCCCACAGCCCAGATAGAGCAGCTGGGGTTCTGAAAGCAGCCCATTATTTTCCAGAATTCCCCTGGGGAGCGCCAGCCCCACATCCTCCTGAAATGGAGAAAGTCAGCCTGTGCTTCCCCAGAATGCTGACTGGGATATAAGCAAATTCCACAGAGCAGGGAAGGAAAACTTGGGCAAAACTAAAGGGCAACACCAAGCTCAGAAGGGACCTCTCTAGCTGTGATATATGATAAAATCATATTTTTATTTTATCACAAAATATGATTGCAGAAACAAAAAAAGAGAAAGGAGTAATGACCAGAGAGAGGGGACAGATTGATTAGTGCACACTAGTGCCTGAGTGGTGGTGCCCACTGGTGGACAGACTGACCACAACATGTTTTCTGAAGGGTTTGGGAGAAATTAGAAATTGAAAAATGAAATCTAGAGCTTTGGAATTCCAATTAAACCAGGAACCAAGAAGGAACTATCACAGTGAGAAAAAAAGGTAAGCAATGAGTTTCTACAGAAAGTAGTGTGGTCAAAAACACCAAATACTAGCAAAACTGAGAAAGTTAACACCCTTAAAAATGTCAGTACCCTAACAAAAAAATAACAGGACACAAAGAACACAGAAACAACGGCCCATTCAAATGAACATGAAAATGGAGTAAAGTATATTTCAAAAACCAAACCAAATGCACCGCCATCGAGTTAATTCACACTTATAGGGATTCTACATAGGACTTCTGAGACTAAATCTTTATGAAAGCAGACCATCTCATCTTTCTCCCACAGAGCAGCTGGTGAGTAGAACACAGACCTTTTGGTTGGTAACCTTTGGTTAGCAGCCCATCACCTAACACACAGCATCATGAGATAACCAAATGATAAAAAAAAAAAAAAAAAAAAAGGAGAACAAACAAGATCGTGGATCAGGTGCAAGTGCAGTGAGAAGCTCCGTCAGCAACAACACAGAATACCGGACCAAGCAGGATCAGGGGATGGTCCCAGACTTTGAGTCACTTATAAAGGAACATTTGGAATGCTGAAAATCTTACAGCCAGTGGAATGTGTAGCAGAAGCAAGAAATCCAGGGCTTTCTAATCTAAGGCACTCAGCTGCTCCCTGAGTGGCCATTTTGGACGAGACTGAACCAGGGAAGGATCAGAGTTAGCCACGGACGCCTGACAGAACCATGGGCATAAAGGAAGGAAAGTGAAAAGGGAAGCCCATCTCCTGATCACATCTACCTGAATGCCATCAGCAAGCATACAAAATACCAAAACACACACCCATCTAAGTTTTAAGACCACAGCTAACCACTGAATATGCCCAAAAAACAGAAACAGATGACCATATCAGCACATGTCCAGAAACGAGATAAAGTGACTGAGACAAGTGAGTGTGGAGTAGACCTACACTCCATACTGGAAGGAGGGCAGGCTTTGGAAATGCCTGAGAAGGAATTCAAAAAATGACTATAAAATGTATCAAAACACTTCACAATGGAGTTGAGAAAAATAAGGAAGAAGTCAGGAAAGCACTACAGGAACAATCAAGTAAGATAGCTACAGCATTGGAAACAATTCAAAACCTCCAGAAAAAGATCCAAAGGATTAATAATAGAATATCAGAAATGGACAATACACTGAAAGGGCAAAGGAGTAGAATTAAAGAGATGGAAGCCAGAACTAGTGAGCTGAAAGATAAATCTCTCAATACCACTAAGATGAAGAGCAAACAGAAAAAAAGGTAAAAGAAAATCTGAAGGTCTAAGATTCATGTTGGACAACATGAAGAGGAATAACTTAAGAATTATGGGCATTCCAGAACAGGAAGAATCAGACAAGTCCACAGAGGAGACAGATGAAGAACTTCTGGAAGAAAATTTCTCTAACATCCTGAAAAGCAAAAAGATAAGCATCCAAGAAGCTCAATAAACCCCAGGAATGATAGACCCGAAAAGAAAAATACCAACACATGTAATAATCAAGCGCTCCAAAATCAAAAATAAGAACAGAATCCTGAAAGCAGAAGTGTAACATACAAAGGCTAGCAAATTAGACTAAGCTCGGATTTCTCAACAGAAACCATGCAGGCAAGAAGACAATGGGGAGGCATATATAAAACACTGAAAGATAAAAACTGCCACCCAAGAATCCTCTACCCAGCAAAGCTGTCAATCAAATACGATGGTGTAATCAAAACATTCCACGATAAGCAGAAGCTAAGGCATTTTGCCAAAGCCAACCCTGCGATAAAAAACATCCTAAAAGGAGTTCTGTGGACAGAGAACCAACAAGAACAGACAACAACCAAAGATTGATGTACATGGAAGCATCACCTGGAAGTCAATCGACAAATGGAAGAATTGAGAACAGAATTAACTATAAGAACAAATTCAAAGGATCTGGGAGGTCAGTCTATGATCAAAACAATTACAGTGTGAAAGAAGGTAAACACAGAGGAACAGAGAGCTAGGTGGTGGGAAGGTCAGGTAAATTACAGGATAAATTGTTGTTGTTGTTGTTGTTATGTGCCGTGGAGTCGGTTCCGACTCATAGTGACCATGTACAGGGTTTCCAAGGCTGTAAATCTTTACAGGAACATAAAGCCTCATCTTTTTCCTGTGGAATCACTGGTAGTTTCAAACTGCTGACCTTAAGGTTCGTAGCCCGATTCATAAATTACTGTCTTAAATAGAGGGAAAAGTTAAAAAATATATAAGGTAACCACAATGGTGGGGTTGGGGTGAGGGGTTTCA